TTCCGTATTAATTTCATACGAAAAATTTGCACCACCACTCCTTTGGCTACCACTTCGACCACCACTTTGACTCCTTCCCATTCCTCCTCTTGAGCTCATTTTTTTTTTGTATGATTACTAATTATAATATGGAGAAGAACTTTTTTTTTTTAGAATCTTAAGAATACTAATAATAATATTAAGGAGATTTTTTTTAACAAAAATACAACTCTATATAACACTTGAGAATTTGAGAACAATAAGAATTTTTAAGTAAGAGAGAAAGAAAGCTTGAATTTGTGTGGAAATTTGAGTGAAATGGAATTGGTATTTATAGGAAAAATAGAATGGATGATCATACACTTAAAAAACTAGCCGTTAGATACAAAAAACTAGCCGTTAGATACAAAAAACTAGCCGTTTTTTTTTAAAAATGGATGTTAGGCCGTGCGGGCCGTGCGGGTCGTGCGAATTGTGCGGGCTGTGCGGGCCGTGCGGGTTGTGCGGGCCGTGCGGGTTGTGCCGGCCGTGCGGGTTGGGTGGGTCATGCGTGCGGGTTGGGTGGGTCATGCGTGCGGGTTAGGTGGGTTGGCTCGTGCGGGTTGGGTGGGTCATTCGTGCGGGTGGGCCGTGCGGGCTGGGTTGTGCCAGGTGGGTCGGGTTAGGTGGGTTCACGGGCTAGGTGTGTCGAATTAAATGAGTCAAAACGGGTTGTGCGATTTGGGTCGAATCAAACGGGTTAAACTGAGCTGGGTTGAAATGGGTTGTGTCGAAAATTTTGGACCCACGACACAACCCGGATTAAATCCGAGCTGTGCCGGGCTGTGCCGGATTGAAACCGGGTCGGACCCACGTGACCCACCAGCTGTGCGAGTTAGGGTGGGCTGGGTCCAACCCGGCCCACTGGCCACCTCTACCCGCAATGGAAGAACATTGATATGAAGTTTGGGGAATTTGGTGATGAAGTCAGAAATTTAAGGCTTGGTTTGTGCACGGACGGGATGAATCCATTTGGCACTCTTAGTACCCAGCACAACACATGGCCAGTACTTTTAGTGATCTACAATTTTCCTCCTTGGTTGTGCATGAAACGGAAATACATAAGGCTTTCACTTTTGATATCGGGGCCAAGGCAACCAGGAAACGACATAGATGTTTATCTTGCGCCACTTGTTGATGATTTGAGAAAGATGTGGGACGAAGGTATTTCCGTGTTTGATGCTCATAAGAATGAGATGTTCACATTGCGTGCAGCTCTTATGTGGATCGTTAATGATTTTCCTGCATATGGCAACTTGCCTGGGTATAAGAACAAAGGGAAAAAAGCATGCCTCATTTGTATTGATGATACGCTAAGCAGACGCCTTGATCATTCTCACAAAGAGGTGTATTTGCGGACCAGAAGGTTTCTCAGGCGCGATCACCCGTACCGTAGGCAGAAAAAGGCTTTTGATGGGACAGCGGAAGAGGGGACTGCGCCTAGGCCATTGACTAGTGAGGAGGTTTACGCTCGAGTTAAGGGTGTACGAACAGTCTTTGGGAAATCAGAAAAAGTGGCGGAGTCAACTGCTCTCTTTAAAAAGAATCAATCTTTTGGTTGCTCCCGTACTGAAAAGAACATGGCGTTAGGCACTGTCTTGATGTAATGCATATAGAGAAGAATGTGTGTGATGCTCTTGTGGGAACGCTGATGAATATTCAAAGCAAGACAAAGGACGGAAAGGGTGCACGGGACGATTTGAAAAAGATGGGGGTGCGTCCAGAATTGTGGGTTCATCAAAGGGTTAGTAAGGGAAAGGAACAAGAAAAGGAAAATGAATTGAGTTCGAAAACAGGAAAGGGGAAGAGCAAGGGAAGGGAAGGGGAAAGGCCACGGATGCGTCAAAGAAGAAAAATGAGGGAAAAGCCAAGGAGGGCAAGGCCTATTTACCTCCGGCTTGCTACACATTGTCAAGGGTAGAAAAACAGATGTTTTGTGCATGTCTGTATGGCATTAAGGTTCCATCAGGGTACGCATCTAACATGAAGAGATTTGTATCCTTAAATGGAGAATTGAAGCTGACAAGTATGAAATCCCATGATTGTCATGTTCTGATGCAAGTTTTCCTACCAATTGCAATACGTGGTATTTTACCAAAGCACGTGAGGGAAGCTATTACAAGCCTCTGTTCATTTTTCAATACAATATGCAGCAAAGTGCTTGATCCTTTTACACTTGATGCTTTACAGGCGGATGTGGTTGTGACTTTATGCAAATTTGAGATGTACTTCCCACCCTCGTTTTTCAACAATTTGGTGCATTTGATTCTTCATTTGGTGCGTGAGATTAAGTTGTGCGGTCCAGTGTTCATGCGGTGGTGCTATCCTTTTGAAAGACATATGGGTACATTAGAAGATAAAGTGAGGAATCGGGCTCACCCGAAAGGAAGTATGATTCAAGGGACCGTGGTTGAGGAGGTCGGTAATTTTGTGGCCGACTATATAGCCGTTGCTAAACCTATTGGTATTCCTACTTCTCGACACGAAGGGAGACTTGATGGTCATGGCACAATTGGGTCGAAATGAATGTCACCTGATCGAGATAACTTCTTACAAGCGCACCTATATGTGTTGCACCATGTTGCAGATGTTCACCCATATTTAGACGAGCACATGGCTAGTTTGCGTGATGAATTTCTATCGAAAGGTGAACGGGCACTGATGCAGTTGCATAATAAGAAGTTTGTGAGTTGGTTTCGTGATCGAGTGATGGGTGGAAAGTATGAGAGTGTCACAGATACAGTAAGGTGTCTTGCTTATGGTCCTAGGGATGACGTTCGCTCATTTGAGGGATATGACATAAATGGGTACACATTTTGGACTGAGCGTCAGGATTTGAAATCATCCTTGACCCAAAACAGTGGTGTAACGCTTGTGGCATCGTCAAGGGAGTTTGCAAGTGCTAAGGATAAATCACATGTTGATGCAGAGTTGTCATACTACGGTCGAATTCAAGAAATATGGGAGCTTGATTATTGTGACTTCACGATTGCTCTTTTCCGGTGTAAGTGGGTTGATAATATCAGGCATAACGTCAAACATGATGACTTTACTCTTGTAGATCTTGGCCACCTGAATGATAATGCTGAACCATTCATCCTTGCATCTCAAGCCAAGCAAGTGTTTTACGTAAGTGACCCAGCCGACTCAAAATGGTCTATTGTGCTAGGCGACAAAAGAAGAATCCTTGGTGTTGGAGATGTCGAGGATGAGGAAGAATATGATGCGTTTGATGACTCGACACCTTTCACTGTTCCTAGACCTATTGTACCAAATGAGATAGACGACCAAGCCAATTACATGCGATCAGACCACGACGAAGGAATATTAGATTGAGGTACTATTTTTTGTTAGTTTGAAATTGTAGGCGTCGAAAGTATTATTAAATCACATTTTTAGGTGAAAATGAATGAAATTGTTAACTTACTTGCCCATTTTTCGTATTTTCTTTTAAATGAATGAAGTAACTTAGTTCCGCATTTTCTATGTTAATTTGTATTATAATTCAGCAATTTATATTTGATTATAAGTTTACCTTACAAATTTATTTATATTACAACTGATAACGTGTTATGTTTGTAATGACTGGTTTTACATCTCATGGCGGATGATCACTACCGTATTGGAGTGAAGGATGTAGAGGATGATGATGATGATTCATCTCGGGATGGGAACGAGTTGTATGATGTGAACAAGGAGCCTGATTTGGGTGAGGCAGAAGATCAGGCTCAAGATGTTTTGGATCGTATGCTTGATGAGTTTGAAATTGCAGCTGAACAAGCGACTCCTATCGAAAATGCAATGTCTGAGTCGTTTGATGAGAATCCTAGTGGAGGGGGGGTAAAGGCACCAGCGAATAAAAAGCTGAGGGGTCCGACGACAAGCTTCAAGAAACCTGTCGGTCCAATGGTCCTGGAGTATGACAGGGTAGGCCAACCTACAGGAAAATGGCGTCGTCAGTATGCTGTTCAAGTTGGGATTTGTGCGCGCAAAATTCCCATTACTCTTCGTTTGAGCGAAGTACCTACAGGCTTGATTGACACGTTTTGGAATGATACTAGGGCAAGTGTTTTTTTTTCACATTTACAAATTCCTTCAATTTATTGTTATTAAATGGGTAAACTAATAATGACTGTTATTTATGCTTGCAGAGTCTATTTAACATTCCAAATGAGTACGCCAAGCGAAGGGTGTTTGAATCCATACTTGCGGCAAGATTCAGAGGCTTCAAGAACCACCTTAGTTCGTCGGTTTATCACAGAGAAACTTGTGAGAAAACCAAAGAACAAGAAAGGAGGTGGCAATGATGATGAAGTCATCGATGAAGAGAAACTCCCATGGCAAATATGGCCTAGCGTATCAAAGGAAGATTGGGATGCTTTCGTTCTTCAAAAAAGAAAAAAAGAAGCAATTGTAAGTTCAAGTAACTCTGATGACAATTGTATAATATATTTAATATTTTGGTAGTTTTGAAACTAATATGTCTAATTATGTAGGAAATAAGGGAGCAGAATTCCAAGAATGCATTGCAGAAGCAATACTACCATCGTATGGGGTGTATGATGTTTGATGAATGGAGGGAGACGTGGGTGAGTGAGGGAGTATACCCCACTGCGCTTCTAAGGTCCTCCACAGTGCCCTCTGACTCCACGACCAGTACTTTGGTGAGTCGTGCCGGAGATTTCTTTTGTTCTTTGCATTCTCGTGACAAGAAAACCGGAAAATGGTCCATCAAGGCTCCGAAAACGAAAGAAATGGCAGATAAACTTGTAAGCAACTATGACTTGTGAACTGCATGAATCTTTTGCATATATATCACTTCACATAAACACTAACTTGATGTTGCCTTTTTGTTTTTGCTACAGCTTGAGTACACTGAAGAGCTTGTTGAAGGCAAGCTCGTCCCAACAGTGGAGAAGGACCCTTTCACCTTGGCTTTAGGAAAGCCCTACCATCCAGGACGCGTATTGGGTGCGGGGGGAGCTTGCTAGGATGGGAGAAGGTGATGGGTCCGGAATATACCAAATCAGGGAGATCCCGGGCAAGTGTGAACTCACCGGTCAACTTGGATGCCACGGTGGCATCAATTAAGGAACAAGTGCGCAACGAGATGCGAGAAGAGTTCAATGCATGGGAAAAGCAAATGAACTTGCCGAGCTTGCCTTTCTCCTCGGCTACACCGGTCGACTCTTCTAGTCACCCACGAAAACAAGGAGAAGATGAGATACATGCAGACGAGGAGGTACATGATCAAGTGGTTTCTAATGTATAAGTTTTGACTTTTTTGAGTTACGTGGGTTCTAATTAGCCTTGCACTATCAATACACTGTTGCAGGTTAGTAATCCTGCACATGCGTACTTGAGGGAGCTTGAAAATCCAACACCTCATGACTTTTCAGTTATACAGGTGAGTTGCTTAGTTATTTCTTTCGATGGTGATATTGGTTCTTTGATTCTGCTGTGAATTTGTGAAGTTTGTTGTGTTGTTTCTTTATATTGGATGAAGTTTGCGGTTTTATGTGCTGTAAATGTTCTTCGTTTCTTCGTTTGTTTCGTGTTTCTTCGTTCCTGTAAAGACTAGTTTCTGTGTTGTTTCTGTGCTATTGTTGTCGTGTTTCTATGCTGTTTCTGTCATGCTTTTTCTGTGCTTGTTGCCTGCCTGTTTCTGTGCTTGCTGCCTGCCTGCTTTCATGGTTGATCTAATGTTGTCGTCTGCCTGCTGTGCTGCCTGTTGTAATGTTGTGAGTTGTGCTGTGAGCGTGCTGTGTTGCTGCTGTTTCTGTGGTGTGAGTTGTGTCTACTGTTTTTGTGGAGCTGTGAGCTGTGTTGCCTGCTGTGAGTTGTGCTGTTTCTGTGCTGTGTTGCTGCTGTTTTTGTGTCTATGAGCTGTGTCTGTCCTGTGAGCTGTGAGCTGTGTCTGTGCTGTGAGCCATGTCTGTGCTGTGAGCTGTGTCTGCCTGCTCCCTGCTGTGAGCTGTGCTGTGAGCTCACTGCTCCTGTGCTGTGCTGCCTGTGAGCTGTGCTGACTGCCTGATGAACTGTGTTGCCTGCCCGTGAGCTGTGCAGCTGTTGCTGTTGTTATGTTTTTCATGCCTGTTTTGCTCTTCCCTTTTTTTTTGTTTTACTTGTTTCTTACAAGTGATATTCCAAATTGGTGCAGGAAGAGATCCGTTGTGAAATTCTTCACCCGGGCGAATCGCTTAGTGGAGCTTTGAATGTCGTTGCATATGGTAGTGCACAACCGGCCGAACAAGGTACGGTCCATTTGCGACCGCTTCGACCTTAGCATTATTTGGTCGGGATCCATTCTGTGGTTGCCGGGTTCGAGGACATCCTAATACTTGTGCCCGTAGAGGAGGATGAGTTTACTACACTTTGGGCGGCAAAAGGTAGTTTTGTGCAATGGCCATGTGCTTGGATACGGTTGGTGAACTAGGTAATTAAGATTTAAAGTTCATGCTTTACTCTATACCCGATTTTCATCCCAAGAGTTGGATGAAATTATTTTCTAACCATTTGTGTGATTTGTCTTATTAGCCATCGAGGAAAAGCCAAACTCCAAAGAAGAGGGTGGAGGGGCCAAAAAGCATTGATCAACCGATGCCAAAGAAGAGGAGTGAACATGGCTCGGTGAGTGGAAAAGCGTCGAACAAGAGCTCTTCACGAGGTTCAGCTATGCAAGCTACTCCACTAGTTGAAGACACGGTGCTTCAATCGCTCTCTAAGGAGTTAACTTATCTGCACAACCGTGTTTGCGTGTTGCCTAGTGACAGCCCCATTCAAGTTCCACTACCTAAGGAAATGTTCCACTACGATGATGATGCAATGGCATGGCTATTCAAAGAAGATGTGAAGGAATTTCTAAGTGGTGCAATGCTTAACATTTCCCTCATTCAAATATGCATCAGGTAATTCAACTAGTACTCAATTTATGTTATTCAGTTTAGTCGTGATTGTCGGTTGGTTTTCGATTAACATTCTATTATCATGCATGCAGAGCACTCCAGGAGCACTTATGGGAGCTTGGTTCTCCATGTCAAATTGGGTGGTTATGCCCTGAGAAGATCTCCACTGCTAGAATCTTAGGCAACCACGCTGACGTGTTGTACTATGTTGAACGGGGTATCAAGGAATCAGTGCGTGCGGGAGACATGTTTATATTTGCCCCATATTATGAGGATCGGAGTACGTCAGATTATGCTTGTCAAATTCATTTGTTTTCCCAGTTTATATGTTGTACTTGCCTAATTATTGATTTGTTTGTCTCGTGTGAATGTATGTACGTAGTTATCATTGGACCCTACTGGTGATTTGTGTTTCCAGTAACACAATCTTCTTCTTTGATTCCGCTCGGTTACCTCAACCAAGAAAGTGCCTCGTGAAGTCCATACTGCAAAAGTAAATATACATAGCTTCAATTCTTATTATTGATTATCATAACCTAACTCATATATATTAATTATACTAATCGAATTTGAACTTACTTTTCTATGTAGTGTTATGAAGAAGATAAATTCTCGAGCTCCTCGAGGTCCTACATGGAAATCACAGATAGTAATGCCACATGATATTGTGATTTTCGTAATATACAATGCGTAAGATGTTGCTAATTTGCTATGTATGTTTGATTCATGTACTTTGTTCCTCATGCTAGTGCGCACAACAAGATAACGGAGTTGATTGTGGCCTATACGTGATGAGATTCATGTTTGACATAGTGAGTCATTGTACAGACACACAACAGCTTGAAGAGGTATGCCAGTTTGGTTGAAATTGCGTTCCAAAACGCCTTAATTGCTCTTTTCTTGTAATTTCAAGCCTTAGTCACCAATAACTAAGTGATAAAGACATGTTATAACTAATTATGAGTTCACTAGACAAGAAATGTAGGAAATAGGCATGCTAGTAGTCAAAATGGCCTTACTCGGGCCATTTTGGTTGAAATTGCGTTCCAAAACCCCTTAATTGCACTTTCTTGTAATTTCAAGCCTTAGTCACCAATAACTAAGAGATAAAGACATGCTATGACTAATTATGAGTTCACTTGACAAGAAATGTAGGAAATAGGCATCCTAGTAGTCAAAATGGCCTTACTCGGACCATTTTGGTTGAAAAAGCGTTCTAAAACCCCTTAATTGCTATTTTCTTGTAATTTCAAGCCTTGGCAACCTATAAATAAGTGATAATGACATGTTATGACTATTTATGAGTTCACTTGACAAGAAATGTAGGAAATAGGCATCCTAGTAGTCAAAATGGCCTTACTCGGGCCATTTTGGTTGAAATTGCGTTCCAAAACGCCTTAATTGCTCTTTTCTTGTAATTTCAAGCTTTAGTCACCAATAAATAAGTGATAAAGACATGTTATGACTAATTATGAGTTCACTTGACAAGAAATGTAGGAAATAGGCATCCTAGTAGTCAAAATGGCCTTACTCGGGCCATTTTGGTTGAAATTGCGTTCCAAAACGCCTTAATTGCTCTTTTCTTGTAATTTCAAGCTTTAGTCACCAATAAATAAGTGATAAAGACATGTTATGACTAATTATGAGTTCACTTGACAAGAAATGTAGGAAATAGGCATCCTAGTAGTCAAAATGGCCTTACTCGGGCCATTTTGGTTGAAAAAGCGTTCTAAAATCCCTTAATTGCTATTTTCTTGTAATTTCAAGCCTTAGTCACCAATAACTAAGTGATAAAGACATTTTATGACTAATTATGAGTTCACTAGACAAGAAATGTAGGAAATAGGCATCCTAGTAGTCAAAATGGCCTTACTCGGACCATTTTGGTTGAAAAAGCGTTCTAAAACCCCTTAATTGCTATTTTCTTGTAATTTCAAGCCTTGGCCACCTATAAATAAGTGATAAAGACATGTTATGACTATTTATGAGTTCACTTGACAAGAAATGTAGGAAATAGGCATCCTAGTAGTCAAAATGGCCTTACTCGGGCCATTTTGGTTGAAAAAGCGTTCTAAAACCCCTTAATTGCTATTTTCTTGTAATTTCAAGCTTGGCCACCTATAAATAAGTGATAAAGACATGTTATGACTATTTATGAGTTCACTTGACAAGAAATGTAGGAAATAGGCATCCTAGTAGTCAAAATGGCCTTACTCGGGCCAATTTGGTTGAAAAAGCGTTCTAAAACCCCTTAATTGCTATTTTCTTGTAATTTCAAGCCTTGGCCACCTATAAATAAGTGATAATGACATGTTATGACTATTTATGAGTTCACTTGACAAGAAATGTAGGAAATAGACATCCTAGTAGTCAAAATGGCCTTACTCGGGCCAATTTGGTTGAAAAAGCGTTCTAAAACCCCTTAATTGCTATTTTCTTGTAATTTCAAGCCTTGGCCACCTATAAATAAGTGATAATGACATGTTATGACTATTTATGAGTTCACTTGACAAGAAATGTAGGAAATAGACATCTTAGTAGTCAAAATGGCCTTACTCGGGCCATTTTGGTTGAAAAAGCGTTCTAAAACCCCTTAATTGCTATTTTCTTGTAATTTCAAGCCTTGGCCACCTATAAATAAGTGATAAAGACATGTTATGACTATTTATGAGTTCACTCCTACTAACTTAAGTTTTGTGTATGTATTCTAAGTTTTGCAAGGGACAAACGGGAAATCCGTTCACGAGCGAGGAACTCAATGTAATTCGAGACATGTTGGCGGCCTACATCACATTTAATTTTTAAATATCTTTTGTTTATGTTTTAACTAGCTTAGTGTACTACATTATTACTAATTAATTATGTTTATTTGTAGTTATGACACATTTTTTCTAATTAATATCATATTTTGGAATTGTTATCAATATCTATGTCCTTGTTATTATTTTCAATTATTATTATTATTAATATATTAATAATAATAATTATTATTAATATTATAATAATAATAATTATTATGAATATTATAATAATAATAATTATTAGTAATATTAATACTATAATAATAATAATAATAATTATTATTAAAATTAATAATAATAATAATTATTATTATTAACATTAATAATAATAATAATAATAATTATTATTATTATTAATTATCGGTATTATGTACATGATCTCATTATTATTATATTTATTAGTATTAATATTAATATATATTATTGCCGAAAAAAAAAGTCAAAGGCACTGGTTCATGCTTAAAACCGGTGCCTATTACATTGAATTTAATAAAAATAAACTGGCGCCATTAAAGTTGGCACCGGTCATTTGGCACCGGTGCCAACTAAGGCAATTTGTATTATTAATATATTAGTTGGCACCGGTTAACCGGTGCCAAATTTATGAGGATTTGACATTCCTCAAATCCCCAACGGTTCAAAACTGGTGCCTTAGGGGGGGGTTTGAACCAGTGCCAAATTAGGATTTTCGTCTAGTGATACAAAGTGCCCATTAATGAAAGGAGGTGGGAATTAATTAATTCAGGGGTAGGTTAGTCTTTTTATGTAATGTGGTAAAAACTTGAACCATTTTGTTTTTGGTTAGCCCATTTAATGACAATTAGGCCACTGAAATCAATTATGTTAAACCACAATGTCACTACAGAGAGTCCAAAAAAAGTTCGTCTTCCATGTAGAATTTGATAGTGTTATACGACATATCAGTTTTGGGATTTAGGTGTATATATATAGATTAGAAAACTTAGGTTGAGTTGCTCTAGAATATTCAAAAGATAAGACCCAATTCAAATTGAGTTTGATGTAACTTCCTATCAAAAGGATCAGCTTCAATATATATATATTTTTTTTTTCAGTTTTCAAAATCAGTTTTTGTAAATTATCCAAATTCAGTTTTTTTTTAATAAATCCGAAAATAAAAATAATAATTATTAAAATTTTTACTATAACATATAAATTTGAAGATAATTATAAATTTAAAAGTTTATCCTAGAAAAATCATTGATTAAATATACTCAAAAATTTAGGGTACAGTATCACCCTTGGAAGTAGCTCGTACCTGTCTAAAACGGTTCTTTTGTCTATGGAAAAGAACGTTCGATTTCAGGGTCATATGGAATGTAACCTGATCTAAAACTCCTGGGCATAAACACAGAACTAAACAAACAAGTATGAGAAACTGTCCCAAAGAACTTGCGTTCTTTGAGACGAAAGAAAATAATCTAGACTACAGAAATAATCAGGAATAAAAATAAAATCATTTCCCTGGCAACGGCGCCAAAGTTTGATAGGCTAAAGTCGTATCACCTAATCAAAAGTAATTCTTAAAACCACTATTTAAATTAGATAGGGAAGTAGGGTCGAATCCATAGGGAAACAAGTCTTCCTATTCCTAAATAATTAATATAATCTAGATTATCAAGTATCAAGTAAGAATTGTGAGAATTATACTACAGACTATAATTAAACTAATGGAATAATCAATAACAAAAAGCCTAGGGTATAGGTTCACCAATAAATAGTATTCCAGGGTAAAACACAACAATTAATCATCAATGCATTAATTAATCAGATCATAAAGGGCTTTCGCTACGTATTACGATCACAGAATTAATCTACCGGTATTAAATCGCATATCTCGAATCTTGACTTAACCATTTATAAATTAACCTGCCTATTGAAACTAAGCCTAAACATCAATTCTCATCTCTCGAATCTCGAATCAATATTGCGTAACTCATACAATTAAACCAGCGCTAATCTAATTGCATAGCATTAAATCAATCAATAGGAAATCAACCAAAGCATTAACAATCAACAATAATAAATTACCCCTTCATATTATTTATAAATCCCCACAACCCTAGAAATAAACTACTCATGCATAATTAAAACTAAACTAACCAAAGCAATTAAACAAAGCATAATAGATCAAAGCAATTAAATTATCGAAAATAAAAGGGGAAGAAATCATTACCAAAGTAAACGGAAATAATGAATTGTGTAAAAAACCTCAAGGTGTAGAGAGAAAATAAGAGTATTAACTAGAGCCTAAAACTAAAAACTAAGAATAACTAACTGAGAAGAGGTATTCAATCCCGCTTAACAAAGCGTATTTATACTTAAGCTAGGAAACCTAAGCTAAAACAAAGATTAAAAATCGCTAAACAATCTCAGAAACACGCGCCCGATCAGGCAGAACTTCGCCCGGCCGGGCCCGCCTTCGGGCGAAGAAGTTCTCCTCTTCTATATGCCTCGCCCGGCCGGGCGCGCCTCAGGGCGAGGGCCAACCCGGTCGGGCGAGCTCTCGGGCATCATGGACCTCTCAATTGGGCTCTTAACTAGCCCAATCCTAATTTCCTCTTTGGGTCTTTAAGACTCGGTCCAATGTCTCGAACTCTTCTTCTTCTTCACCGAGCCCTTAATCACCGGTTTGATTGCTCCAACACGTTCTTGGGCTATGGAATATGGTCATAATAATACGATCCTACTCCAATGCTCGTAGTGGCTCAAATAAGTCCGGGAAAGTGTTTCAAATCTGCAATTTCCTATAAAACAATACCAAATCTACGAAAACACTAGAAAACACATATTAGTGATAAAAATAGCCCCACAGAGCTCAAATAATCACAAATATGACCAAGGGACGGGGGATAAAAATATATATAAAATAGACTCATCAATGAGCACCATCCGGAAGTCCTACGAGGCATGGAGATATAGAGTGCACATCCATCAAGCAAGAGTCGTCACCGGTAACATGATGAGAGGCGTCGGTGTCGACTATCCAAGACAAGGAAAAATACTCACCAGTACCATGTTAGGAATTAATTTTTCCGTAATTGTATTAGAATATGAATAGGTATATATCAACCTAAAAGAGATTAGGGCTCTATAACATTGGCCCACAAGTTATACATTATATGCGGACCTAACAGAGGAGAATTTTAGTTAATTAGGCTATTGTCTAATCGTGCTCTTGATAATTCTGACTCTCAAATTTTTGACATTTGGAGTCGAAAACTTTTGGGATATGGATTGCATCTCAGGGTCATTTAATGTAGTTTTGGAACCATATGTGATCGTTGGTCGGTTACATAAAGGCTTATGGTGGTCTTGAATTATTTAAGGGTGCATAAACGTCTAAATCGATAGTGTAAGGGCAAAAGAGATAGTTTCAACCACCCAAATGGACTTATGGGGTGTTGTGGGATCCATAGGAAGCACCTCGACATTTTTCCTTTACCAATCCAAAAAAAGTTGATAATTGTTGAAAATTATCTAAAATTGAAGGCTAATTCATGCTTTTAGACCAATTTCGAAGGTTTCCATATCTAGCATTGAAAACTTTTGTGATTGGGGGGATACATCTTGGGGTTACATGATATTGTTTTGAAATGAAACAATACATGACCAATAGTCAGTCACATAAACACTTTTGTGGCCTTGAGCTAATTAAGGGTGGCGTGTATTTAAACAACTAAATTGACGATTCAAAGGCTAGGAGATGATTCCAACTACCCAATATGGACTCTGGAAGTGTCGTGGGGTCCATGGAAAACACCTCAACATGTTTCATTTTCAAGTTCGAAAAAGTCAAAAATTGTCCTAAACTAAAGGCCTAATTCAAATTTTTGGACCAATTTAGAAAATATTGGGACCTATGTCAAAAACTTTTGGGATGATAAGAAATACATTTGAGGTTTGCAACTATATGTGACAACTAATTGATGCATAAAGGCTCGTGGAGGCTTTTATTTAATTACTAATTATGAAGACATGTATGTAAATGATTAAATTAAAAATTAAAAGATAAAATGAATTATTTTAACTACTCAAATGGCTCAAGATTAATAGAAAGCATTCAACTCGACGACCCTTTTATAATCGAATTGACACAATTAAAATTGTCACCCCTACCTATTGTGAGTCTTTTTAACTTCTCAGAAGAATAAACTCCTTTACAGTTGATTCAATAATAGTTCCAACATTCGAGAATTTAATTCCTTTTTTCCTTTTCTTTTATTCCTTTTTATTTTTAAAAAATTATTATTCCTGACCAATAATATTCTCAATAATAAATTCCAATACCACTCCACTCCCAATAATAATTCTTCACTTTTTTCAACCTTTTTCCACCGCAATCCCAATTCCCAACTTCTATAAAAAAATGTCTTATTCAAGTTCAAACCTTTTTCTAATTTTTAAGGAGAGAAGTCTTATGCTATGAATTTATCTCCACTTTAAATGATTTACACTTGAAATTAAAAGAGTATAAATCAAAAGGGTGTTTTTTTTTCTTTTTGGGAGAGATTGATGGAAGCCATTAAAAGGCAAGCTAACAAGCTCAAAGATCAAGTTTCTCAGCAACAACAGGTAATTTTTCTCAAAGATTTGATCTTTATTTCAACAATTTTTTACTATTCAACTGTTTTAACTTTATATAATTGTTTATGTATTTGCAATCATGATTTCTAACTACTTATGATGTGGGTAGCAAAATCTTGAATGATGTATTTAAATTGTACCGTACGGTTTACTTTATATGGGTGTCTAGCTTTTAGTTTTTGCACTTATTTTGGTGTATATCTAGCTACTGAGGACATGTTATGTAGACGGGATTCGATCGCGGGTTTTAGGTATTATGGAATTAACAACTAAACTTGGTGACACACACTTTAGTTTTCGGAATTTAAGGAAGTATTACAGTTGAAGGAATCATCTTACAATTGATTAGTTTCTTAAAATTTATAGGGTTTGTCTGGTAGAATGTGGTTTAAGAAGGGGAAAGAATTTACAAAGAGGGTACCAAAAAAAGGCTGGCAAAATGGTGTTTTCATTGTCCCTTTGATGACACAAGTTGAAAAGGTGATGCTAATATTGTGGCAGAGAAAATTTGTTAGCAAGAGAGTTAATACTCATAATTAGTCAAGTAATAGAGCACATTCGACTTTTTTTTTTTTTAACGAATTTAGACCATGAATCCATATATTATTGTATGAAGAACTAAATAAAATGATAATTTTATGAATTTATATTCACAGAAATGGAATTATAAGATTAATTTTAAGTTGAAAACTATTAAAAATATGACTTATACTGTGAACTCAATTTTAAGATTGAGGACTAATGGCATCTTCTACAGGCTCTTCTTAGACAGTTCGGGCACTTTGGTAACGAAGCTTTTGTAGTAGATGAAGCAGAGATTGCATGCCGTGACCAACTGCACAAGTTATATGCATCTACGCGAGAAGCCAAGGTATGTTATATTGGCCTCTTGCCCTTTTGGTGAATGGTGAAATGATCTGCCTTCTAATTATGAACCCTTTGGAATCTGTGCTAGAAAATTTTCCTACAAATTCATTTCCATTTCCATCAACAAAAGTAATTCTACATTTTTTATGATGTTGCTTATAATTTTGTTTTGTGGTTAGCATTTTGAAAAGAGCTTAGTGCATGGCATAGAAGGGATTACATCAGTTACTTCAAAGCAAATTGCAATAGGTGGGCTTAGTTATACCTCCGCAATTGTTGTTGTGTCTATGTGCAAGGTTTAAGATGGTATTATTTCTAATGCAGAAAGAAAATTTGCTCAAGACTGTTGCAGATATGGAGCAGAAAGCCATTGTAGCACATCTCCTTTGACAGAAGCTGCAGCGCGTGTTGGTACCTCTCACAGTTCAATGGTAGAAGAGAAGGAGACCATGCTAGCAATATTTGATGAAAAGGTATATAGGCATAGCTGTGTATATTTCCATTGTACAAAACATGTTATGTAATCCATCCTTCCGTTCTTATATGTTTATCTAGTGTGTGGTGTAGAAAATTAACATATTTGAGTTGGTTTTCTGATGGAATTAAGTGCAATGGAGTTATTTTTTCTGATTGATCTTTTCTGGACTTGAAATTTGAAGATTCTGTTTCATTTTGATTATCTAGGTCTGTAAGTCATTGCAAGCACTGGTAAGAAGTGCTGAGCTTGAGGATGCTCGGCTTCTTGTACGTCGATATGACAAGTTATGGCAGGAAGTGGAAGCTCAGGTTGTTATTTTTATCTTAGTTAATAACTTTTCATTAGTTGATTGGAAGTTAATTAAGTATCCGCTATCTCTCCTCTAATGATATAATTGCCAGTAGTCAACGTACATTCTGAATCTTATATGGCTTCTCAGTAGGCAGCTGATGTACTAAGACTGAGGTCAAAGTCCACTGAGGGAGCAAAATCTGAGGAAAACTCCATCAAACTTGAGAATGCAGAGGAAAAGTTGGATTATCTTAAATCTAGATTGATGGCACTTGGAAAGGAAGCAACATCTGCAATGCTGTCAGTCGAGGCACATCAGCAAAAGATGACTTTCCATCAGCTTGTTGTTACGGTATACTCTTTCTATTCCCCATCAACTGTTTCTAGCTGCATATTTTAACTCTGAATTCTATCTTTGTCAACTTCAAAAATTGTCAAAATTATTGAGTATAGTTTTATGCACAAGTAATCACATTAATTAGATATACCTTACATGACACTCCTTCCATTCCTCAATGCTTTACACATTTCCAAGATATTCCTTCCATCCTTGAATGTTTTACACATTGGGATTGAGCATGGAGTTTAAAAAATATAGCTAAATGTAAAATTATTTATTGGAAGTGCCGAAGTGGATAGAGAGAGACAAATGGTTAAGAGAAAATAATGGGATGGAAAGAGAAGAAATTGTCTGTACCTCAAAATAAAAGTGTGAAGAACTTTTTTGGACAACCTTTATGGGGAAGTGTAATAACATTGAAAAATAGAATGACTCGGGATCATGTTTTAAGAGAGAGTGTCAGAAAGAAGCCACAATTGCACGTGCAGGCGTGCTTGGTTTTTTGTATTTTAGTAGCTACTGGGAGTGTGACATTATATAATGCCTCTGCATCCTACTGATAAATAAAACATATGATCAGAATGCTTTTGAGGCAATGAGTGTATATTAGGTTAAATTCTAAGAATTAAGACTGAGGTCAATTGGTAATCTGTGACAGATGTGACCCCCCTAATTATGATCATGCACCTATCATCAGCTAAAGATTCTGATTTACTTCCGTCAGATAGCATGAAAGGACTCTAGTAAGACTTGTACATTTAGTCTGTCAGAAATTTATCAAGAATTTAAATTGGAACAGATTAATGCTTCACCCTTTTTGTTTATTCTTTCTTGTTCATCATGGGATATATCAATTGAAGAAGGTAGAGGCACTCAAAAACTGGATTCCCAGGCCTACATTTAGCCTTTGAGGCACTCTAAAAGATAATTATTTATTTATTTTTTTTGGTTTAATCTTTAATGTATTAGAAGATTCAGAGGATTCTCCAGCTTCTTTGGGTGGATTGAAATGGTTATTAGCCCCACCAGTCATGGGGAAGATTCATTTATTGAATTTACTGTTCCTTTCCTGATCTTTGTATCTTTCTAAGTTTCTTCATAAATGATTGCGGTAATGTATTATGGGTGTTGTAACTTGCAGCTGAATGCTGAAAGATCTTACCATCGCAATGTTCTTGCTATGTTGGAAAAGGTTCTTCCTGAGGTATGTAATATATCTCTTTTCTTATGCATTCAGTTGCTTAGTACTGTTGAGGGTAAAATGATATTGGAAACTTCTCTTGCTTAGTACGGTTGCTTGTTACCTTGCATTGATGCATGATGCTACATGCTTGTTAAAAATGTGTCTTGATCTTTGTTGTAAATTATTCTGGTATTTTAGATTATTCAACTGGAACAATTGTGCGAGTCATCACTGCCAGAAGATGCTACAGAGAGCCATTCAAATGGAAGCAAGGAGCATTACATAGAACAAGAAGATGATGCATGCTATGTTGCAAAAGTGAGATTTCTAAACTTGTCAGTATAGCTCTTCCCAACACCCTCCCCCTCCCCCCCACCCCTCCCCCCCCCCCCCCCCACCCCCTTCTCTTAATTCCCACTGAGAATGTTAATCTGCAATATAGATGTAGTTATGCAGAAGAAAGAGAAACTAACAGCGGTAACACTTAAGATTCTCTACAACTATAATTAATGGTTCTAACACATCCTCTGCAGGACAATACAGTACAGCTTCCTAAGCTACTTTTCATTTGGGGTTTAATTTCAAAATTTCAGCCAAGAATATCACAACTATCCTCACTATTTATTTGAATTTGACATCTCCACCAAAATTAGTTTTTATTTGGAATTCTTAATTGGTTTCAGTAAAGATAATGTGAGAAAGTTCAAAGTTTAACTTACCAGATTTATATATTCTGCTGTCAAAAACTATATATGTTCATTTTAAGCCATGTCTTCCCTAAGCTTTATTTTTTTTGTTAATGTCTTCTTTGTTTAATCTTATCTATTTCACAGGTTGTACACCCATTCGATGCTCAAGCTGAAGGGGAGTTAAGTCTACTAGCTGGTGATATTGTCGTGGTGCAGCAGGTATGTAGTTCAATTGGTGGAGGTTTAATTTCAGTGACTTCGTACATGCAGTCATGCATATTACTGTCATGATTATTAATTTGATTACAAGTGGTGCTTTGTTTGTATTAAGGTGATTCCCGGTGGCTGGTCCAAAGGTGAATGCAATGGTAAGACAGGATGGTTTCCTACCCCTTACGTACAAAGGTTGGATGAAGTTTCAGAAGGCAACGTATCCTGGGCAAACCTTTAGCAGCCATAGTTCCTAGTTACCACTTAATTTTTGCTGTAAAATAAGTTATATAGCTTATTGTTTTTTATACAATATTCACCATCTTTTATAGAAGGGATCACAATATTCAGAGAAGAAACTGTACAAATTCATGGGTTTTAAGTTTTGATGTTGTCTAAACATTGTGTAGCACACTCTATGTACCAAGAAACAAGTAATTGGAATGATGTATAGTACACACCGATGGTATATAATTATAAATTTAGGGGCCAACATTTGAAAGATGTACCAAAAATTAGATGTATTTAATCATACATATGAGTTTTTCGCTTGGTTGAGCTTACGGCGTGGTTTAAGTTCATTAATGTGTGTAAAGATAATTAATCAAATAGACTAGTACAAGTATATTGCTAATCACTAAGGGGCCGTTTGGTTTGCACAGGAGAATCGGAATTGCAGAAAGGGAATGAAGGAGAAAGGAAAGGAATTCCCCTAATTTGGCCTGCTTGTTTGGTCGTGTCTAGGAAACATAATGAACTGCTCATTGATTCACTTTGTTTTTGTTTGGTTCAGAAATCAGAAATTAGAATATCAAATCCCTCAAAAAAAAAAAATTAAAAAGATAAATTTTTGGTCAAATCTCATCTTCATCGGCCTCAAATCTCATCAAAGACCACTGCCTCAATGTCGCCGAAAACGGTCTTGTGCCGCCGCTTCCGACTCAATGCGCCGCCACCAATGTGCCGCTTCCAGAACCTCCGATGGTAACAATCTCGGTTGTTATGGAACCTTAGTCAGCGAATTGAAGTTGAAGAAGTTACGAATAAAGTATGGACGGCGAGGTTCATCTTCCTCGTGTTTTAGAACCTTGGTCGGCGAGGTTCATCATCTTCCTCGGCGAGGCTTCCAGAACACGAGATTCCAGAACCAGGGTTCTCTTTCTCACTCTTCGTTTCTGGTCGGCGAGTTTATGCCGTTCCGGTGAGTCGACTCGGCTTACCGGCCTGGTCGGAGAAGAGACGTTTATTGTCGGTGGTCAGAGGTCGACGCCGGCCTAGTTCTTCGAATCTTCACGTAAGGGTTTGAGAGGAGAGAGAATGGTGGGTAATGAAGAGGGGAAAGAGAATGGAAAAGGCTTGGGGGGGGGGGAATGAGAGTAGAACTAATTTGGGTAAACCCAAAAATAAAAAAAGGGGAAAGGGAATGAAAAAAATTAGCTAACAAACAACAACAAAGGGAATGATTCCCGTTGATTTCCTTTCCCTTTGATTAATCCCCCCAACCAAACAGCCCCTAAATCATTGCGTTTGACAAGTTGACATGAAGTCACTTTAGGGCCATGTTCTTCGAGCTTGCTCCCCCTACAAACCTTTACCAAAAATTGGTATTAAGGCCTGGTTTAGCTTGGGTTCATATGAATTACAAAGTACCCTGTATTATAGGAGGACTATGATATAGCAAAATTAGCAATGAATCCATGATTAGATGTTAGCTCATCTAACTTTGTAACTTCTAAAAAGTAAGTAAAAATAAGTCTCGTTTGGTTTAAAGTAGGAATTGCAAATTACTTGGAATTTTAATTTTCCATTATTTGAAATTCAAGGAAATGGTGAATAGTGTCTGGTTCATCGAGAAATTTTCTAAGAATTTTTACTTTCCATGAATTTGTAAACCCAACACCACAAAAAAAATTTGATTTCTAAAAATTTCAATTTTCTGTGTATTATTTTGTCAACCAAACAATACCTAAAACTCTATTCATTTATGAAAAATCTTCTTGATTGTAAGAAAATTTGTATTTTAAGTTGCCGAAATTGTTTATGTGCATTTTAAAAATAAATGAGAATTAGTTGGAAACTTAAAATCATATCATTAATATTTTTGGTGTTCCATCCCGTTGAACTGGTTCACCCTTTGAGTTAATTCGGATTCAATTTTGCATAATTAAGATTTAGCCCCCTCCCAATTATTGTCGGGATGGAACACGCAATCCTTTCTAAAGTTAACACCTAGTACCCTATCAGTGAGTGGTTTGTACTCCCTCCGTCCCTTTATTTTTGCGCTATTGTCGTTTTTAGGGTCAAACTTTGAAATTTTTGACCATAAATTACCGTCAATGTATTAAGATAATATAGTTTTGAGTGGTCTTGTTAGATTCGTCTCATGGTATATTTTAGTAATATCACGTTTTTATAATTTTTACATGTATGTAAATAAAGATATAAACATTTTAATACGTGTCTTTGAGACCGTGTATAGTCAAATGGGGAAAAAAATTAGGGATAGAGGGATTACGGTATATTCTTTTACCTCCATTCACTGTCCTTCAACTCGATAATTTGATTTCATTTCTCTTGCCCTTCAAAATTTAACCCCATGTTCAAGGATTTCAGTAGCAAACTATTAGTGGAAACTCCATTGTTAACTCTCTCTCATTTTAGAAGAGTTGAAGGTAATGCGTCGTTTTTTCCTCCTTTTCTTTTGTTGGATAGTTGATTTTATATGGAATAATTTTGAATTTAGATAAGCATTTCAGTTATTTAATTTATGTAATTTTAATTTCGGACAAAAAAAAAATATGTGATGTTTCGGGTGAAAACAATGGGACCTTGTCGAAGGTCCGATGAAGTGGAGAAGACTGGATTCGGTCCAAGTGATGTTGGGCCGAAGGTTTCCTGCACAGTAAACACACGTAAACTAGCCTCGGGGGTGTTGCCGAGGAAGGCCCCTCCGATGCTAAAGTCAGTACAGTGTGTAGAAAGAGAACACTACAAGAGAATTAATTGCTTGAGGCTTTTTTTTTTTGAATGAATGTACAAATGTAATATTGATGGCTTTTATACCTTTGCATATATAGAGAAGTTGGGCCTTAGCCCAATTGACTTGCCTTAAGGACTGATCTTTGACTTTAGCACAATTGGAGAGATGAACCTTGACCTTGGGCTTTTAATTGGATCATTTAATGCCTAGGCCCAATTGGACTAAATTGGACCCAAACAGCTTGCCCCCCAGACCCGATTTGGAAGGATGACGGGTCGGGTTTGATTTAATCAGAAAAGGAGGGAAGTGAATGATTTAATTAATCCAAAAATTTGAATTTAAACCGTAATTAAACCGTAATTAATGAGATAACAACAGTTAAGGCGGATAATTGTGGAAGTTGGACGGATAATGGGCAGTTTAATCGCAAGGTCGTGTGTTTAACGGTTACTTAGTGGGTATTTAAGAGAAATTGAAACGCGGACTCCCCGTATTCCCATTTCTGGAGATATAATTAGAGGCGCGTCATCTCTCCTCACTTATTTACCAACACAAACCCAGAATTCTCGAGAGAACCCAAGAACCCGCATCAAAACTTCGCAAATTCCCCGAGCATTAAGCTTAGAAACTGAGACTCGCCACTACCAATTCGTAAATCGGCAACTTTCGCTTCAGATTAAGGTAAATTCCTTTGATTTTAGTTTATTTTTCTTCGAATTTGAACTCCTTCCCTTTTTTCGACTTTTTTCTTCGAAATTATCAATGGCGAGAGGAGTTAGGGGTAGAGCCCGTGCTCCAAGAAGAGCAAGGCCAATTCCCGATCCCAGGAACAGGATTGGGACCTGGAATGGACAAAGAGCAGAGTCTGACCCTGCTGAAGGGATTAGGGCGACTCCAATTTCCTCGGCTCCTCCTCAGAGAACGGAGGGGTCGAGCGCTTCTGGGCGGGACGATGAAGTTCCCGCTGTCCTTTGGGATATCCTTCCCGGGTTTTCAGAGTGGGAGGATGCCGAAGTAGCTTCGGCCATGATAAAGAACCGCCCCTACTCATGGTGGGTGGAGAATGTCGAACAGTATCGGTTTGCCGAACAAATTGAGTTGCATTACGACATCCTTGAAGCTGATGGGTATTAGTGTCGAATGCCCGTGGCATCCGATAGAATCCATCGTCCACCCCCGGGGTATGTGGGGGTGTACACAAGACAACTTCAGTATGGGCTGAGGTTCCCTTTGGACGTATTCGTCCGAGACTTGCTGATCCATTACAATATTTCCCTATGTCAGCTAACTCCTATTAGCATCCGAAGGGTGATGACATACTTATGGGTCTGCAAGTTCTTCAGGTATGTGCCGAACCTGCACTGCTTCAAAAAGCTTCATCGGCTAGTGCCAAATATTCAAAGTGGGCACGGAAGTCATGGTTCTGGGTGGTACCGGATTGAGTCTCGGCCCCAGTACCTAACCATGTGGCCGAACGACTCTTCAGACAAGGACTGGAGAGGTCAATGGATTTGGGTTAGGGCACCCACGGACCCGGGCCACCCTTGCGTCTTCAGCGCTCCCCGGTACCTTGCTGAGCCTGATCCCGACATGGGAAGTTTAGGTCCCCCCGCAGATAACGGCCCAGATCCGAACCTTAATCAACAAAATATCTTCGGCAAGCTGCCGAACCGGGGGGGCAGCGGCCGAATGCAGCATATCCCGGAGACTTGGCTCCCCGATACGCATTATGTTTTCCAAGAGAACATGCTAGCAGCTGTCGGCCTCAGCCGAAAGTTTAAGGATGGTAAGCTTCTTCGGCTGGGGCCGAGGCCTTTTAATTATCTCTTTTTCTCCTCTTTCACTTCGCTTTTTTATGCTGTGCCAACCTAACTGAACTGACCTTTCCCCTTTTCTTTTTCAGAGCGGGACGAGACCAACGTCGGCATTAACTACGCTCGTCTTGGCGTCAACCGAGAACGAGTTGTAACTGATCGGGCCCCCTCTATCACTGAATCGAGGCATAGAGAAGTTCATCTAGACTCTTCCCACTTCCAAATTGAGGCTGTTGCTCTGTATCAGAGGCAGAAGCCTTGGTGGAAGAAGAGAGATCCCTGGTTTCAGCTGCTGGACGAAGAAGCTGAAGCTGCCCGTACGGCCGAAGAGGTTGCACGGGTTATTGAAGCTTGTGAAGGAGGAGAAGGGTCCTCCAGGGCTGTTGAAGAAGAAGCTGCAGCTAGGGCAGCTGAAGAAGACGAGGCTTTGCTGAAGACCTCGGTGAGCTTTCAGACTTAATTTTATCTGTTTCTGTTTGTTGTTTTGTTGTTTTTGTTTTTTTTTTTTTTTGTACTCACATTCTTCCTCCCCCTTTGTCTTTTACAGTCTGAAGAGAGTAATAGACACAGAGAAGGGAAAGCCCCTGTTCGTCCCGAAGACCAGATACAAGAAGAGTCCTCAGACTCAGACATGGACGAGCAGCCGCTTCAGAAAAGGCGCCGAAGAATGGCCATCATCGGCCCCCATGACTTTCAGCGGAGGCCGATGACCATCGGCGTCGAAATAAGGGAACCCGAGGAAGGCAATGGATCGCCGAGGGTTC